ATCTGTAGAACATTCTCTCCCATTCCATAGGTATTGGTTTCCTACATGAAGATCACATTTAAGTAAATAAAAATTCTATATCCCTCCTGATACCACGGGAGTATTTTCATTGCCTCAGATGGTCCCTGCCTGTTAGCCGTCAGAGGCCATGTCCATACCACTGCCCACAGGCTAGAAGCTAGTAGAGAAATGAGGGATGCTCATTCCACCTTTTAGGTGGGCAGGTAGGCTCATGAGCAGGCTGTGCAAAAGGCAGGGTAAAGAAAAGAACTCTAGGGCCTGAACAGTCAACTGTTAAAAAGTCCAAGACTTAGTGAGGTGCTTGAAGTTATTTCCATCAAAATGTGCAGAACAGAAACTTGTTAACAGGAGCTTGTGGTCGCTGCTGTAAAACAAGCCGTTCGGTGAACTCCGCAGACGGAGTCTAAGGCCCTCGCATCCCAGGGGATCTGCAGATGTGCTGAGTGGGTGGACTCGGTGCTGAGGGCCTTGCTTTATGACATGCATGAGAGATACCTCCGACCGCACTCCCTTCTCCTTCCGGCAGGCCCTAACAGTTTTCTCTCCAACTCTCCAAATTCCTACTGTAACTCAGGTGTAAAAAGAAAGAACTACACTTCTCCCCAGTACCTGGGAACTTATCTTTGTACATGAGTCATTTCTAATCCGCTCTTGACTTGAGCCGTATCTTTTTATGGCTTTATCAACTTATGTGCACCTTAAGCCTTGGCACTTGCTCCTCGTATGTGTGTGTTTTCAGGGTATGGGCCACTTTACAAACATAATTGCAAGCCATTTTAGGAGAGGAAAATCCCATAGCTGTAGAAGAAGACATGGAAAACAGATCTAGCTCCTTAATTCTCTGGCTAAGAAAAGTAACAGAGCTAATAGCACTGATAGTCATCACCTAAATGAAGGGGTCTCTGTGCATGTCACCTGTGTTGCTGCTGTGGTTAGGAGTCCAGGTTTCATCACCCACCCTGCCATCCTGCCCTTCATCTACCCAGACTCATTTGGGAAATACCAGTCCCTGCAAGTACTCTGGTTGCCATGCCCGGGTGGGAGACGCATGGATAGGCTGATAGGAAAGAGGCAGGTCTCAAAAGAGGAAGGGCATACAGAGCAACTGAGAAACAAGGATCCAGGGTCCACTGCAGCTCATTGGCCTTGCAGGGCTGTGAGCTCCTGGGACAGACCGTGCCTACCTGAGCTCTCCAGACACAGCTGCTGGGTTGGGGACTAAGGGTTCCTTGGGCATCTCATGCAGCTCAGTGCTCCCAGCCTCAGCCTGTCCTGGCCTTCACACTCGATGCTTTTCCAGCTCATTCAGAGGTTTCTCCAGGGGACCACAGGGTGAGGAGAGGGACACAGCAAGCTGGGATGGGATATAATGTCGATTCATCATGTCCATGGATGCGTTCGCAGATGATTTCTCTATGAAAGGGGAGGGCCATATTGCTCTGCGTGACATACAGAGCTTTGATCTTATAGTCTGTGAAAGGGAAATGACAATTCCAGAGTGATGAAGATAAGTCAGAGTGCCTCAGAGCACTGTATGGACATAAAAGTGGCATCCGAATGCAGGAGGCTTGCTGTCACACAGCTTCACAGCCAAGGACAGCACTACCTGCTAGGGCAGAAGTGGCCTATGTCTGCAGTGTCCCTCATGGGACCTGCCGACCCCAAGTCACTCTTAAGCACTTGAAATGTGGCTGGTGAGACTGTCCTAGTTTGTTGGCATTGCTATAACAGAATAAATACCTCGGTGATTTATAAAGAAAACATGTCCACTCAGCTCACATTTCTGGTGGCTGGAAAGTCCAAAAACATGGCACCAGTATCTGCTCTGCTCTGGAGAGGGCCGTGCACTCCTCACCCGTGGAGAAAAATGGAAAATCCAGCAGGTGTGTGCAAAGAAAGAGAACCATGCTGCCCACAGACTTGCTGTGTAACAGCCCACTCTTGTGAGATCCAATTGTGCAGAACTTCCCCTCCTGCAAGACTGCATTAATGTGCTCATGAGGGACCTGTCCCCATCCCAGGCACTTCGCAGTAGGCCCCACCTCAACCTACCACAGCAGTTGCTGAGGGTCAACGTGAGTTTTGGCGGGGAAAGTGAAATCATAGTAGAGACTAAGGAGCTGAATCTGCAATTTAATTTAATTGAAATTAATTTCAACAAACATGTGTGGCAAGTGGCTACCGTCATTGGCAATGTGATTGTAGAGGTTTCCATTTCCGTCTTTTCGTTTACATGATCTATTGTCGATCTTATGCACAAACTCCTTGATGCCAAATCTAGATCACTTGGTTCTTGCAGCTAAAGAGGCTTCCAGAAGCACCTCAAAGCAGAGAGGGCACACACAGACCTCTCGGGCCAAGCAGCCAGCTGGTGACCATGACTGATAATGCACCAAAGGCCAGCAGCAGGCCATGAAGTGTTCCTCATTTTTCACACATTTTTTCTTCTTAGAAGAAACGTATTTTTTGGGTCTCCTTTTTCTCTAGTGCAGACATGAACACGGTGTAAGAACCTAATAGGGAACCTCCCCAGCAAGGCTGTGTTTTCATGTATAAAACAAACATTTGTTCAAGGCCTGCCAAAGGCCCCACCCTTTGTGAACTTAGGACAGTTCCAGACACGTACCAGGCACTTTCGGTGTGCCCAGCAGTGCTCTACATGCTTTTGGTAGACTATTTTCTTTAACCCTGAGGACAACTCTGGGTGGTTTGAGCAGGCAGCCAGGAGCCAGGGACCACTTGTAGGAGGCAGGGCTGCAAAGCACCCTTCTCACTGCCAGACAGACATGACCCCCCCCCCCGGG